GATGGGGTCTCGCTCTGTCTCCCAGGTTGGAGTGCATTGACTTTTCACAGGGACAGTCATAGCTCACTGCAGCCTTCAGTGCCTAGGCTCAAGCCACCCTCCTGAGTAGCTGGGACTAAAGGCGCTGCCACCATGCCAGCTCGTCAGCACTGATTTCTGAGGATGGGAGTAGGGGGACCACGTAAGCCTCATGGGTCAGCACTCAAGACCACGAAAGGGACAGGACAGAAGGGGCAGGTGGTGATCCTCTGCTATGACACCTCTTCAGGTCCTCGGCTGGCCACTACTCCCCTGTGCTTTCATCTCCATCAAATCAAAGACTTGAGTGAGAATTGGGTTCAGAGTCTGGGCCTGTTGCCAGACACTGATGAACTGGCAGGAGTTCTCCTCGGTCACTGGCTGTTTCCTGCTCCAGGGTCCAGTAGCCTTCCTGGACACAGGGCCTGTCTTTCTACTTAATCCTCAGTGTCTTGGACAGGGTCTGGCTCATCATGGCCACTCAGTAACTGCTGGATGGATGGATGGATGGACGGACGGACGGACGGATGATGGGCGGATGGATGGATGGATGATGGGTGGATGGATAGATAGGTGGATGATGGATACATTGATGGATGGGTAGATGATGGATGGATGGATGGATGATGGTTGGGTGGATGGATAGATGGATAGGCGATGATGGATGGATGATGGGCGGATGGATGGATGATGGGCGGATGGATGGATGGATGATGGGTGGATGGATGGATAGGTAGATGATGGATACATTGATGGATGGGTAGATGATGGATGGATGGATGATGGTTGGGTGGATGGATAGATGGATAGGCGATGGATGGATGGATACGTAGATGATGGATGGATTGATGGATAGGTAGATGATGGATAGATAGATGGATAGGTAGATGATGGATTGATGGATGGGTACATGATGAATGGATTGATGGATGGGTAGATGATGGATGAATGGATTGATGGATGGGTATATGATGGCTGGATTGATGGATGGGTATATGATGGCTGGATTGATGGATGGGTAGATGATGGCTGGATTGATGGATGGGTAGATGATGGATGGATTGATGGATAGGTAGATGATGGATGGATTGATAGGTAAATGATGGATTGGTAGATGATGGATGGATAGATGGATGGATGGACGAGCAAATACAGATCCTCCTGCCTGACTGGTTCTAACTCTTCCCCTTTTCCTTTGTCCCCAAATCCCTTAGATGCCAGGGAGCACAGTGGCTTCTCTTTTCTTCTCTCCATCTCTGTCTCCTTGGCCCACATCTTCTCCTTTCCTTGCAGTGTGGTTGTTGAACAATGTTGGCCATGCCCCAGCGTGGTGCCCAGAAACTCGCTCAGGCCGCCTGGCCTTTGCAGGTGGCAGCAGGGAAGGGCTGGACAGGATGTCAGAAGCCCTGATGGGTGGTGAGGTGTGGGTAGGGGGAGTGGGAAGGAGAGGACCTGAGTGCTGTCGCCTGGCTCCAGGGCCTTCAGAGTGTGTCGGCGGGTATGGTAAGGAGCAGACCTGCTTCCAAGAGGTATTTGTATTGTAGATGAGTTAATGATTGAGGAAAAATGGTCAATATTTGATGCTGTTGGAAATACCACAGAACTAAGAAAGGGCGGGGAAAACTCAGACCTTGGCTGGCTGTGTAGACGACACTGTTTATGCAGTTGATGCAAAGGTCATGCTGTTGGTTAACCTACTCACTCACCGTATGTAGGTTTATTCATCACCTATACATTGAGCAGTGTGTGTGCATGCACGCATTTACTTGAAAATGAATAAGACAAAAATCTTTGTCCACAAGGAGCTTAGTGTCTAGCTGCAAAGGCAAGAAATATATGCAAAGGAGGATATGCTGAGAGCCACAGAAGAGTTATAGATAAACAGATGAGGGAGTTTGCAGATAACACACGGTGAGTGTGTGTGCGCGTACAAGGGAGGGAGGCGTGCAGTGTCGCGGAAAGCTCTGGCCCTGGATGAGGGGGTTCCGTTGCCAGTGCCTGCGAGGCCTTGGCCAGGCACCTTGACGTCCCTGACCCAAGCGAGCAGGCCAAGCCGGCCATCGACGCGGCCTCCTTCCTGCGGCTCCCACCCAGACGGGGGAGACGTCCTGGAGGAGCGCTCTCGGCCTGAGCGGAGAGTAACAGCTCTGCCTGTCCTTAATCGGTGCCAGACGAACGTCGACCATTTCTCGTCGGTGCTCAATCCTCTTGCACGCTCAGGCGTATGTTACCCGGGTGCTCTGGTCGTCTGGTTTACGTCATTAAGCGTCAGAGGCAGCGTTCGTCTCAAGAGGGCGCAGATGGGTCAGCACAAATGAGCCTCGCTCCTTGTGTGGTCCCTCGCAGCCGGTGTGCTCGCCACGCTCAGGTGCGAAGTGCGTGGAGTCCCTTGCCGGGTCCACGCGGGTCTGCGCTAAGCCAGGCAGCACCCGTGTCTCCTCTGTTCCCATTTTCCTAAAGGAAAACTGAAAAGTAAGACCAGTGCTTCTCAACACCCACATTCTCATAGATATGACCCTGCCCGACCCTTTATCAGGGAGAACGGGAGAGAGCTCTGTTCCCAGTTGTGTTTACTTGATTAAGCAGGGTTGTAGGACGTCTGCCCTTTTCTCGCAGAAATCACAGGATTCCACAAATACCTGTGTCCTGCTTCTAAGCACCCCACAAAATAAGTGGGTTTTGAAGAACGGGTGTTTGGCTTTCACCCTAAGCCGACAGGTCTGGGTATCTCCTGGGAGAAGAGTATCATTCTGGACAAAATGGAAACCCATTTTGCAGCTAAGACATGAGAAGCTTTTATGTGAGCAGAGACGTGCCCTGCAGAGCTCAGCGGCCAGGCTGTGAGCTGCACTCACGCAGGGGGCTCCACGCCGATGGCCAGGGGCTTGTGCCAGGTATGTTTCTAGAACATTCTCTTATCCCTCCATCCATTACCTCCGACACATAGGAAAGCAGTTGTCAGGCCAACTCTCCTTAAAGCAGATTAAATTTGCTCAATAGATATTTATTAAGGATCTTGATTTGAGGCATGGGGAGATAGAATTAAGCTGATTATTTAACTGCAGTAGTTTTCTATATTAAATTCCTCTCTATAGGGAGAGAACCATCATTTCCTGCTTCTTGGGTGTGCATTCTCTCACTATGAAGTGAATCATGGCGAAGTACTGTCAATGGAAAAGAAACCCAACTCTGTAAGATAATTTAAGGAGGTTCATTCTGAGCCATATTTGAGGACTGTGGCCCAAAGCTATACCCAAGAAGCCTTGAGCAAGTGGTGTCACTGTGGTTGGGTTACAGTTTGGTGTTATACATTTCAGGGAGAGAGGAATTAGGCATAAATCAGTACATGGAAGGTTTACAAGCGTTGGTTTGGCCCAAAAAGGCGCAAAACATCTCAAAGTGGGGGCTTACAGGTTATAGGTGGGTTTAAAGAATCTTTGATTTGTAAATGGTTTAAAAAATGAAGCTTTGTCTAAAGGCCTGGAATGTTGTAAATTAAGGAAGTCTATTGATCAGAGATAAGCCACTGGACAGATACCCAGACTCAACTGATCTGTTAAGTAAACTGATGACCTGCAGGTGTGATTTGTGCTTTGTCTTGCACAAACTTAGCCCAATTGATGAGTTACAAATGATATCTCCACCATGGGGGAGGGGCATTATGAGGCATGTCTGACGTCCCTTCTCTGGGCCAGCAACTCAGCTTTAAGGGCATTTCTGGGGTCCCCTTGGCCAAGAGGGGGTCCATTCAGTCAGCTGGGGGTTGGCCTTAAGATTTTATTGTAGTTCATAATACTATGACTATTCATAGAACCTTTGGATGGAGAAATAGAAGCTGGAGGAGAAAAGATTCTCCTCCAGAATAAAGCATAAAGCAGAGACTCCAGCCCCAAGCTCAACCCCTCAGATCACCCCAGATTTTTCAGCTGGTCCCACCCTCGTGTTCTTGAAATTTTTGTTTCTCCCTGCTCTTTTTCATAATTTTCACTAGTCAGAAATCCATTCTAGTTTAAAGTAATCCCCCATGAAAATAGAAGTATCTTTAAAAGGCAAATGAAAATAATTTACAAATAAAACTATTATGGCACTACCCTTTTTATTCATTCATTCTTTTATTAATTGAATATTATTTGAGTACTTACCATATGCACATTTTAGAGAGTTCACATTTAAAATGAATCCAGAGAGAGAAGTTCAGTGGCAGTAACTGTAACAATAATAGCTAACATTTACTGGGTACTTACGTTGTGCCAGAGGAGTTGGCTTTTGTCACCTTATTTAATCTTTATGACAGCCTGATGACATGAGACACAGTTGATACTGCCCCTCACTAGTCAGGAAATAGACTAAGTAATTTGCCCAGAGTCAGCTGGAAAAGTGGCAGAGCCAGGACTGGAACCCATCAGTTCAACTTGGGAGCAAGAGATTGAAACCAGTAAACCAAACTTTCCTCTGTAATACTTCAAGTTGAGGATTGGCAGTTGACCCTGAAGCTTTTCCTCCAGCTGCCCAAGCCCAGGTCGCACCACTTCTTGCCAGCTGTGTCACGGCAGTGGCCGGTCTGTGAGGCTCTGTGTAGCCGGTCGGCACAGAGATCTCGTCTTCGCGGATTATCTCTGCGGCATGGAGGGGAGGCGGGTGGGAGAGGGTCCTGGTGGCACAGGCAGCCCACAATGAGAGGACTCTGCTGGGAGACGTATGAGATGGGGTTCCAGTGCCCCCCTTAGTCTCTGGGAACAGAAGATCGTATCACGGGAACTGAAGGAGGCGTCTTCACTGAGGGGGGTTGGAGGGCCCCGCCCCGACCCCGACGGGGCGACTGCACAAGTCACCAGGGCAGCGCCTGTGTGTGCAGCGTCACAGACGTGCGTGTGGGGGTCTTCTGCTCTTGTCCTCTGCCCTGGGGACGTCATGGGCCTTCTCTCGTTGGGAACCGGAACGTGGGGCCTGCCGCTAACGGTGCGTTTCTCTTCCCTCCGCAGGCATGAACGCTTTGCAGCTGCAGAACCTGGCGACGCTCGCTGCCGCTGCGGCCGCGGCCCAGACCTCAGCCACCAGCACCAATGCAAACCCTCTCTCCACCACGAGCAGCGCCCTGGGGGCCCTCACGAGTCCCGGTGAGTGGGGGTGCTCTTCCCCGGCAGGGGCTGCGGCGGAGCCGTGCGCGGAGGGCAAGGCTGTGTGCGTCCAGAATGGAGCCAGGGAAGGCCACTGGCCTGTTTTCCTTATTTTATTGGGTCATTTTATTTACTTTTTTTTAAAGGATCAAAGTTTATGTGTTTTGCTTTCCACGGATAAAATGAAAAAAAGTTTGCATGAGAAAATCCATCGTGCCAGCACTTCTCACACGCATTGATTTTGTCTTAAGAAAGGTCTACATTGTCCATTCCACCCTGGTTAAACCTCCACTACTGTGAAGGGCCTTGGTGTCTTAGTTCAGCTCTTTTGTCCTGTCCTTTCCTTTTTTAAACAATTTACAAATTCTCTGTTAAATCCCAAAATTCCTAAAAATTCCAATGTTAGTATTTCATACCAGTTCCGTCTTTCACATTTGACTTTAAAATCCGCGATCTAGCAAGGGACATCTTTTCTTTCCGGTCAGATTACAGGCTATTTAAAGTCTTTTTTCATTACAAAATTTTGTTGCCTTATTCAAAAGCAGATGCCATTTTTTTTTTCCATATAAGCTGGACATGATGTGGTTGCTTAGATACCATGATTTGTTGCTATATATATATATATATTTTTTTTTTTTTTAATTTAAAATTTAGGCAGGATATTTCCAGGCTTGCCTCCTTCTCTGAATTTTCTGGGCCTCGATCGGTGATCTCATTTCCTCCGTCATTACATGAAGGAGTCGGCCTGGACCCGTCTCCAAGCTTCCTTCTAACTTTGAAAATCCCGTGACCCTGTCTCAGCTGTGCCCAGAAGATTAGCTAAGTGTTGAAAAACCTTTAATGAAAATACTGCTTGTGTTTTCTTTCAGGAAAACACACAGTGAGAGCTAGAGCACGATCCTGCAGAACAGCCCTCTCTCGAGGCTGCGGGCTCCAGGCAGCAACAAGACATTTGCCACCTCGAGCCAGTGGCACGAAAGAGCAGTGGCCCTCGCAGGCGCGGCCTTGGGGCCACGTATGGCCTTCTGGGCCCTTAAGTGCAGCCTTTTCACCGAATCCATATTTTACAGAGCAAACCCTTTTATTAAGGAGGGGTGCGGCCGAGAGAGATGAAGCTTTCCTTGCCTCCTTTGGTGCATCAAAAAGAACAATCTTGAAATCAGAAGGGCCACAGGTTCCCCAACCCTGGCGGACATTTCCCACTCGGGATAGTTTGGAGGGACAGACCTGAGAGAGGTTTAGAGGCAGCTGGTGGATTGATCCCGAACGTGTTGAAATCTCACGGCGGCAGCACGTTTGGTATATTGACTTCGTTATGTTGAACGTCTTCAGAAACATACCGTACGTTGGCTATATGTGGGCTTCATTTTATGCAATACGTACTCCTGAAAAATCAACTTTAAGTCAGTTTTCTCAAGAAATTGAGTTACAGCTTTAATGTAATACAAAAGCTTGTTATTTAAATAAATCCTATAATGACCCCTTTGAGAAATAAACATTTTGACATAGTTCTCCCCCTTATAAAAAAAATAATAGTAATTTTTCTTAAAGAAAAATTCCATCTATTTAATAAGTCATATTGAAAAGTATTAAGAAGTCTTCCTCTCCTGTGAGGACTGATTACATTAAAATAGCAGAGCGTGTTGTGTGCACCTCGGACTGTGTTTTAGGCTAGAAGGAGGCGTGTCGGCATAGTAAGTCCGTACGCTGATCAGTGTGGGTACTAGAGGTCAGTGAAGGCCACACGTGCTACCTGCTCCCTGGGTCACTCAGCCCGTGGGGGACTCAGACACTAAGCACACAGGTGCTCAGCACGTCTGTGGAGAACAGAGTAAGGTGGAGAGAGTGAAGGGGATGGAAGGGGGCGACCCCCTCTTTCAAATGGTGACATTTGAGCAGAAGCTGGGAAGGCACGCGGGGCGATCCGGCAGAGGATGGAGGAGTGTGTGAGGTCTGAGAGGCAGGAGAGAGCCGGGCGTGCTGGGAGAGCCACAAGTGCTGAGCAGGGAAGCGGGGACAGGTCCCTGTCGTTCCATCCTGTGTGGTGACGAGCAGTCATTTGTTGTAAAGGACCTTCTCACGCAGCCTAGGAAGGTGGCCCTGGTGTTTGCCAGGAGTTTTCAACGGATGTGGCCATTTTTAGCCCCCCCCCAAACCGTGGTGAGAGATGGGTCCTCCTTGCCTGCTCCAGTCGCAGCCACTGCCAGCGAAGTGTCCCCTTCACTGCTCTCCACCCTTCGCTGGATGCCGCTAGCTCAGGTGGCACTGCCAGGGATTTCCCTCTCGTCTGTTGAGGAATGCTTTGCATAATGGCCAGAAGTATTTCATTAGAATCCTGAAGTATGGTGGCAGAAACGATTGTGAAATCTCCATTTCAAATATTTTTCTTAAGTGTACCTAAAAAGAAAACCCGGTGTTTAAGTGAAAGTAAATGATTTGTCTAATTTCCGTCGGGGACTTTTTCAAAGTCACAGAAAATGTGGTTAGTACAATTCATGACTCTCCACTTCATCAGTGCAATTTCCTGTGAAATAAAAAGGTGGGAAGTGATTCTCAAAGTCAGCACCATTATTTACTTTTTAAATAATGATAAACGGGGCTCACTGTCCGTGCCATGAGCCAGCCCAGGCCCCACTCCCTCACAGGCCTTCAGGTCTGCCCTGTTTTTTAAATACATCTCTTAAGCTTCAGACAAATTCATCTAGAAAGGAAAGGGACAATTCAATCCCCATAACTATTAATTTTTTTAATAATTGTAAATTTATCATTTCAATTTTGCATACCCAGGAAAAGTTTCCCTACAGCATTATTATAAATGATTTTAAACAGTCTTGGCTTTAAAACATGAAAGATTAAGCTTTAATTTTTGTTAAAAAAAAATCCCCTTAGGCAATAAATAGGTTCCTTTGTCTCTTGGCCTTGATATAAAAATTAAAATAGTTTAAATTGCCCATGGTTGGAATAAGTGTTTCATGCAATTATCAGATGGTAGTGAATAGAATTAGAAATTAAATCATGAAAGAATAAAAAGAAGGTAAGTGCATATTATGCCTTTTATGAGTTTCTCATGGGTCTTTTGAAGCCTAATTTAATCATGTTTCTTGTCTTTTATTTTGATATCATTTTTCGTTTGTTTACCGCAAACTCCTATTTAGTTAATTAATCTTGGGTCATTTCTTCCTACCCAGTTTTGAGCCTGTATCTGAGGACTGTGTCTCTGTGTTTATATAAAGAGGCAAATTGTCTATAAGGGGTGTGGCTAGGTACTAAAGATGATAACATTTGTCTTCCACCCAGCTTACAGATTTGGTTTTTTCTGGCAATTCTGAGAACTTGGGAGAGAGCATTACTGTGACCACATGTGAACATGTCTTTGGCATTTTCTGTCTGGAACATAATATTGCATTCATGTGCCACGGTATTCAGCTGACCTTCTTCTGTTTTCTTTTTTTTTAAAGACAAGGCTGTTTTAAAATTCTCCAAATGCTTCTCGAAGTATAGACTCAGTCAAGTGCACACTTCATGATAATAGATAATTTCTTTCCATAGTGTAAGGCATTTTAAAATGCGGGGAGGCATTTTTCCACTCCCACCATTGGCTTTACAAAGCATTTCCACTTTAAATTCCAGGCAGTGTTTCTGCCCATCTTCAAGGTGTCCCCTGCCTCCTTGAAGGCTGTGATGGACAGGGTCCCAAGGAAGTGGTGACGCTTCCCTCTGGACAACCGGAGGTGACTAACCCGAGGCTGAAGGTGGTTTACCATGATCCAGACCCTTCTTCTGTCCTCACGTAGTAAGGCCCGATGAGTGGCAGCTGTTGGTGGTGTACACGGGGCTCTTCAGAGCTGCTGGATGAGCCCTGGGAAGCCAGAGTTTCCCCGTAGCCTTGCAGTTGGCAGGAGGCTTTGTCACCGCCGGACACGTGCCTGCATTTACAGCAGGTGAGAACTCGTGTGCAGAGACGTGTGCCACGGGCTGACTCGGCGCACAGCTCAGTGCCTTCTCTCTCGTGCAGGGCAGGCGCATAGTGTCCGTCACAGTGACCTGAACAGGGTCTGTGCACCCACCTACGAGGAATCCAGACATAGCCACACTTGAATGTTCAGGTCCAGCAGGTTCCTGAAGAGTGAATCAGCGCTAACTTACATTAGAACAAAGTCATCCAAAGCAGCTTTTTAATTACAAGTATCCTACAAAGAGTGGCTTACAGAACATTCTGATGTCATGACATAGAATAAGTAAGAGGCTCGTATCAAATAAAGGCATTTTTCTTTAGGAAGAACCGCCTACTCTGTGGGCATTTGAAAGATGACACAGCAATGGATCATCCTCAGAAAGTAGCCCTTCATTACGTGTGCCTGCACCAGTGACACGGCAAGATCCCATTCAGGTGTTCGGAGTATTTCACTTGCACTGTGCTTACAGTGGACGTCGCACTCATTCGGGGACCTCCCTCGAAGGTTCTCCTACCCTCCTGTTTCTCTTGCCCATTTTCTGTACTTGCACATTAGCAGGGAAAAGACGTTTGCCTCAGAGCCTCCCACTCTTCCCTTCATTAGCTTGTAACTCTTGCAAGTCCTTTAGCCAGGCTGGGTGGAGCCAGTTGGTAAAACGAGCTATTTATTTGTGGGGTTGAATCAGCCAAACATCTTTACACCCTTCTTGCTACAAAAAGATAATTGGCATCCCGTTCTTTGCTCATTTCCTGCAAGTTCGGCATTCTGTGCCCCTTACCCCAAAATTTCCACTCGGTCTCTTTCTCTTGATATTATGGGAATCACTCTATTTTCATTAGTGTTAATGGAGTCAAACAGGACATAGAATGTCCCATAAGTAAAACAAATCTATAGTGACTGTAATGTCCTGATAGGTTGTTTCATTCACTCAGCAGTTACTCATCGGGCACCTGTGTACCTGGGACTGTTGTTGGCCCTTGAGGTGCATCAGTGGGTGAAGCCAAAAAGATTCCTGCCCTCGTGTACTTTGTCCTTAGCAGTAGC